TAAAAATCAAAATGGTAGAAAATTAAAAAAAGTTTTTTTTTTTTTTTTTTTTTTTTTTTTTTTGTTCAGACAAATTAACACTTAATTAACAAAAAAGATGGGGGGGAAGGTAAATGACCCAAAAAATATAATAAAAAAGATTTGCTAAGTAATTTATGAAAGGGGGGGAAAAAATAAAAAAAAAATTTTTTCTGACAAAAGCAGAAGTTTTTTTTCCCCCCGACGCCCCCCCCCTCTCCCCTCCACTCCCTACTCTTTTCCCGCCGTTTTGTACGTTTGTAACAAAATGAAAATTTAAAGCTGAATTTTTTTTGGGGGGGATTTCAGTTATCTTTATCCAACGATGGATGAATTAGCCGAACAACTTTTATTCGTTCTCGGATATTTTGGACTACACAAAGTCATCGGATTCGGAGTCGGAGCCGGAGCTAACATACTAGCAAGATTTTCACTTCACCATCCGGAAAAAGTAGAAGCTTTATGTCTCATAAATTGCGTTTCCACGACCGCGGGTTGGATAGAATGGGGATACCAAAAAATAAACACGAGATATTTAAGATACAAGGGCATGACACAGGGTGTGCTAGACTATTTGATGTGGCATCATTTTGGACGAGTAAATAAATAAATAAAAATTTTTTCTAATGCAGTCGCGCACGTGGAAGAAGAAAACAATAATAATAATGATTGTGTAAACAAATGTTTTCAGGGAACCGAAGAAAGGAACCACGATTTAATACAAGTCTATAAGGAATATTTTGAAAACCACGTAAATCCAGTTAATCTCGCTTTATTCATAGATTCATATATACGACGATCGGATTTGAACATAACGAGAGAATCCGCGGAAAATGTTAAAAGAAAAGACATGAGTCCGACATTGTCGATGGCAGTCATGAACATTACGGGTTCTCTCAGTCCTCACGTTGATGACACCGTAACATTAAACGGTCGGTTGAATCCTACCAATTCGTCATGGATGAAGGTATGTACCTGAAACATATATGCATATACATAAAATTATTTTTAAAATGATAAAATTTTCTTTCTATTTCGTTATTTAGATTTCTGATTGTGGTATGGTTTTGGAGGAGCAACCGGGAAAAGTAAGCGAAGCCTTCCGTTTATTTTTACAAGGCCAAGGATACGGTAAGTTTTTTTTTTAAAAAAATTTTTTTTTTTTTTTTACAAACAAGTAAAGGTAGAAAGTAGTTAACGTTATGATAAAAAAAAAACGGGAGTGCAAAGAATTTCTTTTACCACACAAAAAAAGGAAATACGTCGGCGGAAATTACGTCATAACTTTTAAATTTGATTCGCCATTTTAAAAAAATTGACTCCCGTTCTTTTACCGTAACGTACTTTTTTTTTTTCTAACTACCTCACTTGTATTTTTTTTTTCTTCTTATTGCCATTATCATTTGAAAATGATGATGATAATAATAATAATAATAACAATGTAAAAAAATATTTTTTTTAAAATTTTAAATTGAAAAAAAAAAAAAAAATGTATTTGAGGCATACGTAAATCATATCGCAAATTTATTTTCATTGTTAACGAGGAAAGAAAGATTGCGGTACGTATTTTATGTTTCAGTTAATTATTATTATTAAACCCCCCCGTTAAATTTTTTTTTTTTTTTTTTTTGGTGGAAAGTGTGAAATTTTCACAAATTTCGGCAGACGAAACGATTTTCCCATTTTTCCTTTTCTTTAATTTTATTTATTGGTGAGGGAAAAAAAAACGGTTTTGCCGGTTGTGTAAAGTTCACACTTTCCATATATATATATTTCATTGACAGAAATTCACGTTTGATTTATATTAGGGTAGCCATTTTTTCTTTTTTTTTTTTTTTTTTTTTTTCTGTTAATTTTTTTTTTGTTTCATACGCTGAAGTGATGATGTGCCATTTTTAGGTATTAAAAACATAAAGAGGGAGGGGGAAAACGAGTAAATGATCAAAGTTTTTTTTTTTTTTTTTTTGGATTTTATATGTTGTTGTGCTTTATGTGATTTGCACGCCTCTGAAAAGAAAACAAAAATCGAAAAAAACGGTTTAATTTTTTTTTTTTTTTTTTTGATTGATTGAAATTCTATGCACTCCTGCTTATGTTCAGGTTCAGGCTCGAGTCTTTTTACAAAAAAAAAAAACCGAAGGGAAAGAATAACAAATAAAATATAAACACACACAAACGTGCGTGCGTGTGCGTGCGGATGAAAGATTTACACGTGTGTGTGTGTGAGAGAGGGGAGGTTTTTAAATATTGTGAAAACGTTTTATTTATTTATTTATTTATTTATTTATTTTTGTTATTTTATGTATTGTGCAGACGACTTTATTAGAGCTTAGCTAAAAAAAAAATCCAAAAAAAAATTATTATTATTAGTTTACCGGATGATGATCTATTAATAAAATCAGTTTTTATTTATTTATTGTAGGCTGAGTTCATTTCATTTTATATTTTTGTCATCATTTACATAAATTTTTATTTATTTATTTATTTATTTTAAACAAAAATAGTTAAGTGAATTTTTTTTTTTTTTTTTTTTGTTTGTTTCAGTCTTGCAATTACTGCAAAAGAATCCTCTCCCCACGTGATTGATATAAAAATAATTTTTTTTTGAACTCCCTGAAATTCTTCTTATGCTTATGGCGTTAACAAGAATGATGAACTCAGCCCAACTTAAAGAAAATTTATTTATTAATATATTTAAATACAATGGAAAGCGCTAATGATGATAATAATAATTATTATAACGTTTTTTATTTTTTTAATTTTTTGAAAAGAAAGAAAAAAAAATTCCGATAAAATTGTAATTATTGATTTAATTATTATTCGTGTCGTTTTAAAATAGTTTTAAAAAAAAACTTTTACGAATTAAATATTAATAATAATAATTATTAATCTTATTTATTAATTAATAATTAGAAAATAAAAATTTTTTGTTTTTTTATTCGTTTTGTTTTTCTTAATTAATTAACGTGATAAATTTTTTAGCGCTTTTTTATCAGTACAAATAGTCAGTAGTTTTTTTTTTTTTTTCTTCGTATATTATCATTATCATTATCATTATTAACAGTAGTAGAGAGAATGATCAGAATACGTTTTATATTAATTTATTATTATTATTATTATTATTATTATTATTATTAAGGGAAAAAAACGTATTCGAAAATTCTCGTACGAATTTTATAGTTTAATAAAAACTAAAGCGAGAAACTAATAATTCCCTGCTTTATTTTTGATTGATTAATCAATTAATACAATATTTAATTTTTTTTTTTTTTTCTTTTTTGTTTTTTTTTTTTTTTTATTACTTTGGTAGCACTGAAGCTAGCACGGAGCGTGTCGACATCCACATCAGCAGAAGGTAAATACAGTAATTAGTGACCTGAAAAAGTAAAAGTTCTGCAATCATCATAATAACGTAAGTTACGCTTAAAAAACAAAACAAAAAAAAATGCACTTCCTTTATAGTTTTTTTTTTTTTTGACAATAATTTCCGGTCATGGTTATTTCATCAGAGATCAATAATTTATTCTATTAATTATCGA